CTCCTCCGCCTCCACCTCCACCACCATCGGCCTTCCCTCCTCCTCCTCCTCCTCCTCCTCCTCCATGGGCCGCGCGCCCCTCTTTTCGCGCTTTGATCGATTCCTTCCCGCTCGAGTCGACGCGATCGAGTTGCAATCGAATCGAGTCGACTCGAACGGAATCGAAACGACCGAGCGCCGACCGCTTCCGGTAACGGCGCGAGGTTGCGCTCCGCTCCCTGAAAAGCAGAAAATCCATCGTCTCTTTGAGTTTTCTCTAAAGCAAACACCGCTAGCGAGCGATCCGAAGGATTCCGCTGGTCGGAAACGATCGGACGCGATCGGAGAGGCGGAGGCGCGCACGCTCGCGCGGCCTCGGGCCGCCGACTTTCGTTCGATCGATAGCCAGCCACGGGTCGCGAGCTCGCGCTCTGCTCCTCGCGGAAACCGACGGTAGCGAACAATGACGAATAATGACGAATAACGGCGAATAATGGAGGCGAAGGGACGGTGGGCCGGGCGAAACCTTCGAGCGAGCGAGGACAGTACGGAGGATTAACCTTGCGATCGTTTCTTCCTTTGCAGCGGACGTCGCGAAATCGAAATGGAAACACTTGCGGGACAATTTCCGCAACGAACTCAAGAAGACGTATCGAGGGAAATGCGAGGGTGGCGGGAACGAGCACGATTCCAAGTGGGTTTGGTTCAAGAGTCTCTTCTTTTTGCGGGATCAAATGAACTCCCGGGTGATCGGGTGCGCCCTTTCGCAGAACTGCTCGGCGGCCCTCCGATCCTCGCCGGAAGGGACGCAGATCGAGCCGCAGATCGACATTCTCGAGGGCCACGAGGAGACCCGATTCGACGACCTGGACGGCGACTCTTGCCAGTCGCTGCTGTCGAACGAGGACGGGCTCCATCACGTGATGCCGCCGCCCAAGCTGAACAAGATCGGCAGGAAGAGGAGCCTGATGGACGCGTTGGACAACGACTACTCCGAGGTCGACAGGAAGCGATTCGAGTCCCTGCAGAAGAGGCTGAGCGTCTCTCAGGAGGAGGAGGACGACACCTACCACTTCCTGATGAGCGTCCGGAACCCCCTCAAGAGCCTGCCGCTCGACCGGCAGATGTTCGTCAGGCTGAAGATCCAGGAGCTCGTCTACAACGAGATCAACTCGCAGAACCAGCAGCAGAATCGCTCGGCGGTCTACGACGGGCAGCAGGACGTGAAGCCCCTCAGAGCGGGCGGCACCGTCGCGGCCGGGACCGGAGTGGGCCCGGGCCCCGGGCCTGGCGGGGGCGTCGCCGATGCCGACTCCGCGGTCTCGGGCGCCGCGGCCGTCGTCGGGACCGAGCAGCCCGGCATCGGCGACGCCGTCTCCCACTCGGCGGCCTTGCTCCAAAATTCCGCCTCGGACGGCTCCGCTCACGATGCCTTCTTTGGTTAATTTAATTTACCTTCTCAGCCGTAAGAACTATTATATATAATTT